CCCCAAAACCCCAAAACCCCAAAACCCCTTTATAAAAATTAATAATTGAAGATATTTAGTCTTCACAATCGCTCTCAAAGTCAGAGTCTACTACAACCTGAGTTTTAGGTGTTACTTTAGTACAGGTCGGAAGTTCTTCTTGGCTGTAAAACAAAATAGAATCTTTAATAGGCCCACAGTTTTTTATGACACCCCCTCCTCCAGTAAACAGTGATCCTAGATTTTGGTTATTTACAGGAGTGCTTGCTTGGGAAGATACTAAATCGAAATAAGCCTTTTCAAACTCTCCATCACTAACAGGGTCTGGCAGTTGTATATTTATCCCTCACTCTTTATTGAACTCTTTAAGGGAAGCTATAACACCTTTGTTAGAATCAATGGACTGGTTTAATTTCTTTATGGAATTTTTCATTTTTTTATCTAAAGCACCCTTCTGCTCTAATGTTTTCATTAATTTATCTAGCACTCCATTGCTAGCTGGAGCTTTCACAGTATCCGTCATATCTGTCAAAAGACTAGAGAAGTCGGAGTTGACAGGCTCAAATTTAAATAGGTTTTGCAGTTGCTTCTAAAGTAGAGTTTGGAGGAGTAACAGATGCTACTTGTGCTTCAGTGCCTGATTGATCAATATTGCTAATCTCAGAAAGTAATGAAAGCTTAACTTCTTCATCATCCTGTTCTCATACTCAATCATCTTCTGAAGTTTCAGTAAATTTTGAAAACTTCAGATACTTCTGCGTAAAAACAAGATTAGTAACCACCTGCATACTTTCACAAAGAGAGTAATCTCAGTCTTCCGACAAAACATCTAAATCTCTAAGAACCATCTCAATGGTGTTAATATGAAACTTGTTGTCCTCTATCTCCTTCATAATTTTCATTTTCTTTTCAAGAATAGCCTTCTCCACATTTCTAATAATATGGACTTCAAAGAGAAGTTTCTTCTCCATTCTCTCCTTATCAGCTTCACACAGATTTTTAACATTTTTTTTACTAGGCTAATACTGGCATTCACATAGTTCATTCACAAGTCTTTCTTCTGCTGGATTCCAAAAAAGAGTTCTGAGATTCTGTCCATAGCTAAGTTTCAGTGGCTTTTGTTAAGTTTTAGACCAAATGGGATATTGGCCACTCTTGCTAATTATTAGAACCAGTTTGAAGAACCACTTATAAATTTAGAGTCAATATTTTGCTAAAATATAGGGGTTTTGGGGTTTTGGGGTTTTGGGG